TTTTGAAAATCGAAATGAAAGTGTTTTTATGCCCCCAGCGACACAATTTAGATCATTAACATTTATAAGAGGCTGGCTCCGGCGTTACCTGCCAAGGCCAACCCGGGCTGAAAGGGATACAACACCCCAGCTGAATGACCGAGATACTTGATTTTTTTTTTTATGTTCTATTCTTATACGTGTGTGTGTGTGTGTGTGTGTGTGTGTGTGTGTGTGTGTGTGTGTGTGTGTGTGTGTGTGTGTGTACATATTATAGTATAGGCCTAAATTTTAATTAAAGTATATATTGCTTTCCATTGTGTATGCAAATTAGATGCTATGCGGAGCAGACCTTTATTTTGACGGGATAAAATCTATAGAGTTTAGGTTTCTACATGTATCTTGTTTTCTTATTATTTACTAATCATACACACCTAAGCGTATTGAGTTTAATCAGAAAAATTCAGACTTATTTTATTTTTTTAAGCCCATTCATCCCTTATAATTACTATAAGGCTATAACTGTTGTCTAAATGTAGATATCGAGAGGCTCCATTAAAATATGAAATCAATACCCAATAACAACAATGATGAACTATGTTAAAGAAACACTAAACCATATCAGATGAGGGGAGGGGGGTAGGGTGGGATGGATAAGAGTTTGAGTCTTGTTTGATATAGAACAATACTCGGTTTAAATCTAGTTGTATTAGTCTTCACTATTCCACAATTTATCGGTTCATTTAATAGGATTCCACTGTTAAAAAAATAAACCAAACAACAAATTTTTACAACTGCAAGAGTCATCCTTAAGATAAATACCCCCCCCCCCTCCCATCTGAAGTGTGAAGGGACTAAAAACGCTGCTTTCCATAATATCATTTACTGAACCAAAAATTCCTTCAAAGGCCATCCATGCTCATGCATGCGATCACATCTCCGCTCTAAATCTCGATACGTGATTGGCTACAAGTTTGCTCCAGACGCAAGGATTTTACGACAAAGGGATCACACCCAAGTGTGAACTCCTCGACGCCTTTGACATCAACATATCCAGCAACACAGGACAGAATCTTGCAGATACATTTCTCCAATACATAGAGGAGCAAGACATCGACTTTGAGAATTGTCGTGGCCAGACATCCGACAATGCCAGTAACATGTCTGGTAAATACACTGGAATGCAGAAAATTTTGAAAAATAAAAACAATCTTGGGGAATGTATTCCGTGCGCAGGCCACTCTCTAAATTTAGTTGGTCAATCAGCTGTAGATTGCTGTGTGGAAGCAGTGTCTTTCTTTCAGTTCCTGCAGCGCTTGTATTCATTTTTGTGGGGGGGGGTTTCTTCTTTCTTCTACATATCGTTGGAATATTTTATTACGACACGTTGAGGAAAATCCTGAATGTCTTGTCCCAAAACACCCATCGGACACCCGGTGGTCTGCCCGGGCTGATGCGACAGAAGCAGTCTTCAGGGGCTACAAACAATTCCAAAGTGCTCTACAAGAGATTGCAGAAGATATTGACCAGACTGGTCTCATGAAGCTCGAAGCTGGCGCACTTGCAAGTTATATGGACGCCGTTCAATTTGCTTTAATGTGTGAACGTTGGAATGACATTTTACATCGTTTCAATTGCTGCAGTAAACTGCTACCAAGTTGAACTATTGAACTAAGCCCAACCATTGGATTGTTAAAATATTTAGACACATATATAGACGAGTGTCGAGGAAAGTTTGACTATTACCACGACAAGGCAAGTGACCGATGTGGAAGCAGCATAATATATAAATCAGACAGTCAGAGAGCACGTGCACACAGGAAAACAGTAGATGATGGAGATGCCGCAAGTGTGATGGATGAAATGTCGGGTCAGGAGAAGTTCAAAGTGAATACATTCTTGGTTATCATGGACCAACTGAAAAGTGCCCCATGCAGACGAATTGACGCCTATTCAACAGTAGTGCAGCGGTTTGATGTTTTAACAGAGTATGATTCAATGTCAGCTGAAGACATCAATGCTGCAACATCAGGACTTGTTCATGTCTATCCACATGACCTCTCTCCTAACTTTCCAATGGAATTTAGACAGTGCCTTTGTTGGGTGAAAGAGCAAGTACATCCGTATAATGCAACTGGAAGCGCTCAGAGCACTTTCAAACTCTTGCATACCACTTGTGTCCACTCAGCTTTTCCAAACAGCGAGATAGCATTGCGGATGTATATGTCTCTAATGTCAACTAACTGCACTGGCGAACGTTCTTTTTCGCAATTAAAACGCATTAAAGGCGTTAAGCGTTCAACCATGTCTCAGCGGAGGCTAGGGATGCTAACACTTCTTTCAATAGAAAGCGATTTACTGCACAACGTCGACATTTTAACAAAGTCGTTGATGAATTCGCTGTTGCAAAAGCACGCAAAGTGGCTATCAAGGTAAGAACAAATAATGCATAATATTATTGTTGTGAGAACTTAGTTACATTATTTTACTGGTATGTTGTCCATATTCCATAATGTCATACTTTGGACTGGCTGACAGACAGACACACGCACAGACAGACCGTGCATGTGTGTGATGTGTGTGTAGTTTTGCACGCGCGCGCGCTCGCATGTGTGTGTGTGTTAAAAGTGTTTGGGGGGGAAAAAAAGTTTGGGGGGGGGGGGGGGGGGGGGCGAGAGGATTTTGCACCATATTTGACTCTTTCAGGCCACTCAGTGAAGTGTGCCTTGGGGCCAGCTGGGTCTTAATCCGGCACTGCCAGAACCTAGACCAGGCAGTAGGAGCACAATCATATTTGAGATGGAAATTAGAGGCTAGCCGTAAGTACGGCTAGACTGGTTGGCTAGCCGTACTTAATTAAGTACTTATTCTTAATGTGAAGGTTAGACTGACCATTAAAAAAAAAAGTCTACTGAATTGTAAATATAACTTTTTAGTGTGCAATATCTAAAGTATTTGTATTTGAGACGAAACCAGGTGACTTAATGACAGTGCATGTATTTTAAACCTCCTGTTTTCTAATGTTGATAGTGCCTAAGATAAGTACGGCTAGACTGCTCAGTCTAGCCGTACTTAAGTACGGCTAGACTTCTTGGCTAGCCGTACTTAATTAAGTACGGGTAGACAGCCAGGTTAGCCGTAAGTAAGGATGGCAAGACTCATGATCAGTGGCGATGGGTGGACCAAAATTTGGGTGGGGCTTAGGTTGCTTCCAGTTTGTTTGTTTTTACCACCAAATAGCAAGCAGTAAAAATTAAACAGTGATGATTTTTCTATACTCACGGTGAGCCACGGCAGTTTGAGAACCATTCAAATGGGAAGAGTTGCCTTTGTTTTCCATCTCTTTGTTCTTAGTTAAATTTTTGTTGATGGTGGGGACGAAGCCGATTCACCTCCAAATTTCCTCTAATTACTATTAGTTTTCGTGTGATGAAAAAGTTGCTTTACAAGTAGTTCGACCTGATTTATAACTGTTAAATCTCAGCGGCACAAACAAGAACACGCACACACACAGCACTTCAAACATTTTATTCATTATTATACTTCTATGAGCTGGATTAGGCCGTGTAGGCCTAGTCGAGAAAGTTGAACGCACCCAACAAAGAACCAAAAAGCGCATAGGTATCTGTGTCAGTGGGGAAAAGTGTGTCGTAAACTTTCACCCCATTGTCAGAGCTAGGAGAGCGTGAGTCCTCGGTACAGTGTTTTTTCCCCCCAGTCTTCTACCTTTAGGCCTATACAAGTAACAAGAAGAGTTTCATTTTAAGGACAGGCTGTGGGAAAAGGGCTCATTTTTGCTGAGCCCTAAAGACATTTGATTGGCTGTTGGGTTACTATAGTTGAAAGTGGTGCAAGGAGATTAAAAGTAGCTCTAACTCCTTGAAATGGTGACAACACTGATTGGATAAGCGAGCAAGCCGCCACAAGTTGATCAATGATCACTCTGTTCATTGCGTGCGGTCACAACGGTTTCAACTGCTTATTTCATTGTGGAGAAACTTTCATTTACTTTGGGATAGAGTTGGGGGTGGTGGGTGGGGAGGGGGTAGGGGCTCAAGCCCGTGAGCCCTACCCACCGCCACTGGCTAGACTGTAGCCTACTTATTGATGGCTGAAGTGTAAATGAAATTTTTAGTTTGCAATGCCTAAAGTATTTGTATTTTAGACAAAACCAAAAGGTGCCTTAACTGACTTGCATGTATTTGAACCTGAATAATTACTAGATCTAGATCTAATGAGATCTGTGTATTTAACAGGCTTGAGTCGATATTGGGCCAAACCTAGATCTAAGTAGTCTAGCCGTACTTATAAGTAGTGCGGCTAGCGACTCGTAGCCACTTCGTTTGAGATGTGCCGTCTTTGACCATTAATATTAATGTAGGCCCTACCACCAAACTCGCTACGAGTGTTTTCATCGTTTGATCCCAAAAGAGCGATTTATAGACCAGCTATTATGTTTAGTTAAAGCGCGTGGACTTTGGCATGGCAAGTTGATGTACCGCGCTATAAACACAGAAATGACAGATACGGCGCCAACAAATTAAATGACCTTGCTTTGATATAACATTTGGCAAGTGTTCGTTTCTGGCATCTTTTATTGTATTATTGTGTCATGTGTGTGCTTTTCGCAATAGAACATTAAAAAAATAAAATTGGGCGCACTGCACGACCGTGCTCTGACGAACCACCAGCTGGCCAAGATCAACACCTTGCGCATGTGGTATAGATCTAGAATCTAGATCTAGATTTCTAGATCTAGATCTAGGAGGACAGAAAAAAGGTAAACAATTTTTTTTTCAAGCAAAATTTAAAGTAGCAACAAGTTGGGAATTCAACAGAACATCAATTTGATTTGTCAAGCTACAGATCTAGTTGGGTGTGCGCATCCCCTTCTTCCCTTGAGAGTCCCATCAGAGACACTAAAATATATACTCTGGTCCCATGGTGAAACCATTAAATTATGCAGTAAGCACAAGGCCTAAACGGCACGAACTGCATTATACCTCACTTATGTTTTTCGTCTTTCATAACTTTAGTCCCGCAGCCCGCAGCTTTGGGCAATGCAGTATGCACTTCAACTTCAATGCAGGCTCGGGTCATCAAAGGGAGAGGAAAGGTTGAGAAACAGCGGTGGAACTGATGCAATAATTTATTCAATAATATTCTAGATCTACGGTAAGATTGAAGTTGAACTTTGGTGGACCCAAGGTCTGTATCTTGTTTAATGGATGAAGTTGGATATCTAAATCTAGAAGAGAACTCTAGAGATCTAGCTAATATCTAAATCTAGAATATAGATCTAGATCTAGATAGATCTAGATCTAGATCTAGAGATCTAGATCTAGATTAGATTTAGGTCTAGATTCTAGATCTAGATTTTCTAGATCTAGAGATCTAGATATATAGACTCTAGACTCTAGATATCTAGATCTAGATCTAGAAATCTAGATCTAGATCTATATCTAATCTAGATCTATCTAGATCTAGATCTAGATCTAGATCTAGAAGCAGACAGAAGATTTAGAGATCTATAATCTAGATCTAGAGATCTAGATCTAGATCTAGATCTAGAATCTATGGGCTCTTTGGAAAGGAAGAGGCTAGCCGTATTTAATGACTTAAAATGACGGCTAGACTGCTAGTCTAGATCTAGAATTCTAGAATCTAGATCTAGATCTAGATATCTAGATCTAGATATCTAGATCTAGATCTAGAATCTAGATATATCTAGATCTAGATCTAAGTCTAGACCGGAATATATTATGTAGTCAGTCTAGATTCTAGATCTAGATATAGATCTAGATTAGATTTAGATCTATAGATTCTAGATCTAGATTTCTAGATCTATATATCTAGATCTCTAGATCTGGATCTTGTTCTAGATCTAGATCTAGATTGTAGATCTAGTTAAGTAGACCCACTATACTATCTAGATCTAGAATCTATCTAGATTAGATCTAGATTCTAGATCTAGATCTAGAAGCAGAAGATTTAGATTAGTAGTGGATCTAGAATCTATGGGCTCTTTGGAAAGGAAGAGGCTAGCCGTACTTAATCATAAGGCCGGCACTATTTCTCCGAACGTTCGGGAAAATAAAGCTAGGCACTATTTCTCCGAAGGCCGTCGTTATTCGGACTCGAGTCTGAATATGAAAAAATGTTATTCGGACTCGGGTCCGGAAAAAAGGAAGTGTCTTCGTTCTATAGAGATCTAACGTTCAGTGCTTCCAATTTTCCGCCATTTTTTAGTTTCCCCCACACCTTATCTATATGCCGATCCAATGCCCGCCGCCTCATTGATAAGC